ATCACTTCTGTGAGAGTCTTAACCCAAAACCAAACTGTGCCTCCATTGTTTTGCACTTTGATCAGAAGACACCTTTCATCCATATCACAGTGTTGAAAAAGAAAACTCATGACTCATGCCCACAATGCAATGGTCATGTAATATGAAGTTCCCTGTGTGACGTTTTAAGTTTCAGTGTAAGTTTCATGAAGCAGTTCTTTGACTGGGTTTTAAAAAGTTGCAAAATAAAAGCAATGTTAATTCTGAGAGTGACAAGGAAATGAGAAAGCTTAGTCATCAAGGTTTTCTTTCTCATTTTTCTAAAAACACTTTACCTGTCTTAAGTGTTACTTGATAGGCCAATTTTTACATACATTTCCTTTTCCCATTTGCAGGCCTTGCTGTCAGCAAGCAGTCCTGCAACATATTAGGTGACCATTCAGCAAGACAATTTCAAGGGAAGTGTTTTAAGACAAACAGGGCATGATCCTGGCTGACCTTTAAGCTGTTGAAAGTACGTTACCACTGTCATTTTATAACACCTGTATCTGCAGCCAGCTTGGCCACAGAGATGATAAAGCAGAGCTGTAACTGAACATGCAACTTAGAAAATGCTTATTTTCCAAGTTTCAATAATTCACTTCTGAAGTATCTAACCTGAACATTCAGTTAACAGGCCTGCAGAGGAATCTTTATGAAGAAGAGAGGTTGGGATCAGGTCACACTGAGCTAAGCTCTCTGAAAAGTAATTCGTATCTAATCAAACCAGTCTGCCCAGAATGGTGTGTTGATAGTCATGTGTTTGGTGAAAGAGAGAGAGAGAGGGAGGGTGTGTGTCTGTGTGTGTGCGCGTGTGTGTGTCTGTGTGTGAGTGTGTGAGTGTAGAGTGACCAAAGTAGGAGCAACAGTTACATGATAAGGTACTAGTTTGAATTTCTCTTTGCAGAGAAGTTCTTTTGTTTCTGTGGAGATGTAAGTGCTCACACAATGGATTTATAGCACAGGAAAAGGAAAGAAGAAAAAGGAGACCTCAGTTTTTAACTTATCACAGGTAAATATTTAACTGTCCTTAAAGCAATTTTAGCCACGATTCAAGCAGCAACAAAAGGTCTGTGCAGTAGTGAAGTGTATGTCTGTTTTTACCTTTTACCTGTCCTTTTAAATTCTGTGACCTAGCAACACATTGTATAATTGCCTTAGATTTTTACTTTGTCTTAAAAGAAACATTAGGTACTACTTTTTCTGTTGTGTTGCACAGAGCAGGTCCAGTGCTCTTTGACGAAACTATTTCTGATAGGAGTTAAGCATTTTTTAGAAAAGAGATACAGCTGTACTGTTTTTCTTCACCTGAGGGAACGCTCAGATAATACCAGGGCGTTTGGACATTTGGTAGGTATTTAGTGTGCACATGTCTGGAATTTTTGGTAAAGGTACAGGTGTACAACTTTGTTAATGCCACTAACTGTATATAACAGCTTTAGAAGAAAAATGATATTTTTTTCATACTTTCATACTAAGAAAGTTGTAGAAAAATGTTCATCAGGCTCTGCTTTACTACATTCAACATGAAGGAAAACAGTAGTTAAGCTGATATATGTCTAGACTCATTTGTGCTTTATTATTATATATTATGTGCATTCAATCCAAGTTCCGTGCCTCAAAACTGGACTGTGGATTCAATTAGTTAGGCCAAGTTATAACAACAGTCACCAACAACTAGAACATTGTTTTTCCCTGCAATGCTTGTTTGATTTTCTCTTTGAGGAGAGTGCAGTTAATGGGTTTGTTTTTTTTTACTTTTACTAAAAGGTTTTCAGCGAAAAAGACCAATGACCAAAAGACCAGCCGAGATTTTAATTATTGGTCAATGATCTGTCACTGAGTGTCCTTTGCTATATTTTAATAATGTGTTGATATGTATTATTAGCTATTAGTCTAAAAATATGAGAATAGATTTTTTTTTTAAATCCAGTTTCCAAGTGTCCAAGTAACATCTTCAAACTTTATATTGTCATACACATGCGATCTGAAACTGTAATAGATTAATCGAGATTAATTGATTCTTCCTAACTAGATGATCATTTCAAAATCAGTGCTGAATATTTTTGTAAATTCCACTGTTGGTTAACATCAAAAACACTGTATTGTTGGAATCTTAATTTTTTTTTAAAAAGCAACATGCTTTACTATTTTTTCCAGCTTTTTTGTAACAGCAAATTTGAAAACTTGTGGATAACAACAACAATAATAATTTTGATTATAGTGCTGATGGATTAAACATTAATGTTAGTTTAATTCACTGTGGCATTACATGGATAGTAGTCTAATAATTTTTTTAAGCACTGTATATTTTTTTTAAATACATTACATTACATACCTGCTATTAGCAGGTCCTTTAATCCACCCAGCTATGGTCCTCACATGCTCTGTGTTCCTGTATTGCAGAGGTACGTGCAGACCACATGGCCGCAGAAAGCCATGGTGACTCTTATAGACTACCCAGCTCCTATGGAGCTGTTTTCAAAAGCTGGAGAGCTGAGAATGCCATTTTCTGATGTGGTCAAATACTGCATTCTGGGTATCTCCATCATTCTCCTACTGCTGGCTCTGGGCATCTTAGCCTGGCAGATCTACAGATTCTGCACAGAGAAATACACTACATACACCCAGCAAGATGCAGGTGAGTAGGAATTACAGTAATACTCAGTGTAGTGCATATTGACAAGCCAGAGGGACTGTGACACAAATTATTAAATGTATGGTTGTGTCTGTTTTCTGCGATAGGGCATAATGATTTGCTGTATTCAGACGAAGGGCCAACGACAACAGGAAACTACTCAGGAGCTCCAAGTACCAAAGTAAGAGGAAACGTTTTCACAATTGAGCACTAATGTGCACATGGTCTTGACCAGACTGTATAAACCAGGTTAAGAGAAAATCCTGCTTCGAGGAATCTGCTGTCTTTCAGTTGATACTTGGGATTTGTGCATCTGAACAAGGTGAATCTCTGAAATGTAATATATTGCTGCTAATTTCTTTTGGACACAGTTATTGAGTTACATGTTAAGATTCTGGAACAGAATTGGTGAGAAATGCAGGAAATATTTAGGACTGCTTAAAAAAAATGAAGTGAATTTTTCTGAAAATTGTAGATTCACGGTGTGATCAGGTAATGCCAATTTACTTAAACGTGAGAATTTTCAGTAGGAAATTAGTAAAACAGGATGATATAAATACCACACAATTAAGAGTTTTAATATATTTTGTACCACAGAAGTCAGCATTTAGCATGTAACTCTACTAAGGACTGTTTTAGAGGACTGTCAGACAGAAGGCAGATAAGTAAACCACAGGCTGGGTGGGGTGTTTGTGTGGATGTGTTTGAGAAGTCGGGCAGTTTATTTGGATAGTCTGCTGTTTGCTTCATACCACATGACTGACCTGTGTCAGGAAAAGTTCTGCTGAGTGTAAAAACTTCCATGTAGAGTGTTAGAACAACGGCAAATGATAGCTAAATTAAGAATGATGAAAATTGAGGACCACAGATGTAAACCTGAATGTAGGCAGCATTTTAATGTAGTATTACAAGCTGAAGCTACTACATCTAAATCACCTTGAGCACCTTTGTGATAGAGCAGGCAATAACAACTATGATGCAAGTGAAGGACTCTAGTCTAAGGACAGCTAAAAATTAATACCCTTGACTGCTATGTACATGAAACCAGATCCATCATGACAGCGTGTACATGTGAAATATCTAAGTATTTCCTCGATAGATGTGAGTCTTTAAAGAGTAGAGGCTTAAAAATTAATTGTGCTCTGTGTTATAAAGGCTTATACAACTAGCCTGCTTTCTTTCTTAATTCCTGGGTAAATAGTGCCCATTTGTGTGTGCCTGCAGCTGGAGGATGTCAGCACAGAGGCCCACAGACTGAGTCGCTACCTGTCTCAGCCCTCGTTTCCCTCCTTAGCATCCACCGAGGCAGCTGGAGACAAAGAAGAGCAGGCAACTATTCAAAAGGTAAAACTGGTATTTTATCCAGTTTATATATTTTATTTTGGACAGACAGAAACCCAAGGTCCAGTGAAATTATTAATGAGAGACAAAACAGGAAGTATATTCATTTAGTGCGGTGTTGCTCTGTTGGTGTTTCTACAGTTATTTAAAGATCCAAAACTTAAAGATTCATAAAACAACACCAGCAACATCTGGCAATGAGCACCAATTATGCACAGCTTTTTAAAATATGTTATGAATGTATCACTTTTTTTTATTTAAAGTCTGCTAAATAAAGCTGTCAGATTAATTAAGTGGTGTAAAATTGAGATTTTCCTATCATTAAATAGAGATGCCAACGTTTAGGTAAACGCTACAAGCTGCTCTCTTACTAGTAAACCATAAACATAACCACATGGTGGCGCCAAGAGTGAGTTTATAGAGAGACAAGTTAAAAAATGCAGTGTAAGTATGCATACAGATACCCTTGCACTTTTGCATGAATTAAAATTATGCTCACAGATACATGTGTAGACTCATTTCTCTGGCTGTAGAAGCACCTCACCACAGTCATTAGGATTCATCTTCTGTCAACCAAAGATCTCTGAGCTAAATGTCCTGTAAATCCTTCTGGCATCTGTTTAGATATTCAGGATGAATCAGGGTGACTAAAAGATAAGCAGGCAGAATTTAATTTTACATTCTTTTCCTAATTCTTTTCCTATTTGAGTATGTAACAGAAATTTAAACATCATTAAAAAAATGTCCCATCAATCCTCACAAAATAAGATTAACAGTAAATGACTGATGATGACACAGTTTCAGGCAAAATCAACTACAGTCTTTGGGTCTTTCCTAACATATCCTCCCGTACCAGGTGGATGGATCATTACGATTCTCCGTCTACTATGATCAGATGCAGTCACGTCTGGTGGTCACCGTGCTGCAGGTGGAGGGGCTTTTGGAACAGAGTGAGAGCCGAACCCTCCAACTATTTGTTAAAATACTGCTCATGTGGGCTGGATCAGAGGCTGTAGAAGTCGAGGGCTTTAAAGATGAAGAGGTAAGTTTGTCGTATTATTATTTTCCGTGAACTTATTTTCTTCCTTTTCTTGATACATATTTAAAAAATACAATCCACGCTGTCTTTGAGTTTTCATTCAGCACAGCATCTCTGTACTAAAGACAAAGGTGTCATAAATTACTGGTGTGATCCTCTTAGGGGGAAGGCTTGTCGCCTGTTCTGTGGACAGTACTGCAGGAGTGGCGTACTCGCATTGTGAAAGGCAGCTGTAACCCTTTATTTGGAGACCAGTTCAGCTGTGTTTTACAAGAGGAAAAGCTTCATCACATCAACCTAAGGATGGAGGTTCTGCACTACATATCTCTCATTCTTAAAACATATTTGTTCAGGACTCAAACGGTATTGCTTGTACTACATCGTGCATGCAGTTTGCATGTTAGCTATCACATTTCAAGGGCCAGAGAATTTAAAGCCATAAGCACTACAGCTATGTTACAGTACTTTAGTCTCTTTTCACTTGCTGAGAGAAAAAAGTATGAATGATAAATGTTTTTATCTGTTGTGGTGTAAATCATTTGGTGTCTGTATGCATCTCAGGTAAGAGACTTTGATAAATTCTCCAGAAACACAGTGTTAGGAGATGTGAGGGTTCCTTTAGGACAGCTCAACATCTCCTACCCTCTGGAACTACAGGAGGATCTAAAGATACCCCAGAAGGTACTGCAGGGGGCGCACACACACAACACACAGCATGCACGCAGGACTGGCTTTCAGTAGCATCTCAAGTAGTTGATGTTATGTAAAGGTGAAATACAGAGTATGTCAATATGATTATAAAACTATATAATAACTATATTTAGCCATAATAATAAAAATGAAAGCTAATATTCATTGTGTAAATGGAAATAATTAAACAGACATTTACAGACGTGACAGATGATAGTAAAAATATAATAGAGTACATTGTTATAACTATATAATCCTTCTTCATAGTCCACACAAAAATTGTTCCATTTTCAGAAAAGCAATAATTTTTGTTAGTGTTTATAGTACCTATGCCTAATATTTTGTCCACAGCATTAATGTACCACGAGTGAGGCAAAATATTAGGAGTAATTTAGAAATTGCACAGGTGAACCCAAAAGTGCATTTGTGTAGCTAGAATTTTATTTTCCACAGAAAATTTAGTTTAACTTTTACTGGTTTGTGTAATTTGTGGATCGTATGGTGCCATCATTATTGTCAATGATATTTCAATAACTGAACATGGCATCCGTCTATGCATCTATCTTACTATAATAATGAATTATTATATTGGGGCAATAATAATTCATGTAATATTTTTTTAATTGCTCAAAGAAAAGAAAAATATATTTGTAACACTAGTGCAACTGAAACCACAGGATGACCTTTGCCTCTTTAATTTAAGATCAAACAAAAGAAAAAGATGTTATACTTTTGAGTTATGACTGTGGCCATTTAATACATTTTGTGCTTATGTGGTGATTTTTAGCCCTGCTGAATACTGTCATTTATGTTTGTGCCTGCAACTATATCACTTTAAACTGTGCATAAATGTACATTATACTGATGCGTTCTCCAAAGGATCTTGTTGGAGAGGTGCTTTTGTCCCTGAAATTTCTTCCCACGTCTCAGAGGCTGGAGGTTGGCCTGCTAAAGGTCAAAACTGTCCTTTCTGAGATATCCCCAAATGCAGGTAAATTAAAAAAAGACACCTTCACACAAAAAAGACGCCATCTTTGATGCACATACGGTTATAAATTCATGTAATCTGTGTATGTGTGTGTTGCACAGCCCTGTATGCCAGGATCAGCGTCCAGTGCAATCAGTTCAAGCTAAAGTACCAGAAAAGCTCTACAGTGGCTCGGTGCCTGGTGACTGTTTTCAATGAGGTCCTCTTGTTCTCCTTGCCAGAGGTTCATCTGGAGCGGTGTAAAATTTTGGTCTCTATATATGAAACTCGCCCAACAAGCAAATCAGCCAAACAGCTGATCGGACAGCTGAGTGTGGGGAAGGAGAAGAGTTCAGAAGATGAGCACTGGACTTTGATGATGCGCTCAGTACGTCAGCCAGTAGCAAAGTGGCATGGCCTACTGATCTGAAACACAGCAGAACCACCGCTATCATCATGGAGTGTTGTATTTGTATGTTTTTACCCTGAAAGCATGTGTATCAGACTGTTCAGGCATCTGCACTTGCTGAGGTAAAGACCAGACATGCTTGTCCTCCTGATCTCACAGTGACACAAAACTTTATTACTCTCCGTACTTACTGCTACTCAACGGTAAACGTGATGTTTGTAACAATGCTCCACTTTCTCAATGCCACACTAACATTACTCTCATTACTCAGTTTATGAGAGGCATTATTGACGAACTGTTGGTTCAAATGTTTATTTTGGTTGCTAAAGCAGAAACTGTACTTGTTGCTATCTACATGTAATTAGCGTGTACCTAGATCAGTACGAGAGGACTCGAAAAAATAATGAATGCCACAGTTATGATGATTAGTTGCTTTTTTTTATTTTTTATACAATGTGTATCTTTTAATCCACAATTTATTCTATGAAATGTAATATATGAGACATTAACTTCACAAGATAGAATGCAGTTGTTTAAAACTTCCTATGAATCCTTAATAAATTCCATCATTTGGTAACGGTCACAATAATGTTATTGGAGTATTAAGCCATGATTAACGTGATATCATTTTTAGCAGAATGGCAGTGCTGCGATAAAAGAGTGTTCTGCATATCACTCTTTTTATATGAAGGGTCCAGCGCAACTGAATAATTTAAATAATAAGTGCTTAAAAGCACTAAAATTACAAGTATGTTGACTTTTTCTCCTGATAATCAACATGTCCTCACCCTGCTCTGTGGCTAGAGTGCGCCATTTTGTGCGCATGTGTGATAAATTGAACACAAGCGGGCGACTGTGTGCGAAGACAAAGTGTGAGAAATACTAATTACATTTACAGTTACAATTTAAGTATGAAATAAAAACATACATTAATGAAAAGTTTACAAAATAGCAAAATAAAGTGACTGGACAGAACAAAATTAAAGTAATTACCGCAAATTTTAAAAAGAATTAAAAAGTATAGAATATGTACCTTTGAAATAAGGTGATTAAGTGGAAGTGACAAAGCCACACATGGAATATCAGCACCATCATAATTTCTTTGAATTTTCCAGTTGACTAATCCCAATAATTGAAGTTATCAAAAATGAAGAATTTAAAAAAAACAAAAAAACAACAACAACTTTGAATACATGTTTTAAAAGACTTGCTTCTGCTTTTAAGTCTCCTTTTTTAGGCTGTCAGGCAGGATGCTTTATCAGCCAATCCATTAATGAGAAAAGAAAAAGAAGCCAGAAATGAGCTGAGCATGATTGGACAAAGGTTTAGGAAACCAGGGAGAATATCCACACAGCAAAGAGCAAAAACCCATGGTCAGGTGAGTAATCTACAGGTACAGTGTTGTATTGCTTTTATTTTAGCTATGCCAGTCTCATTCAGCTAGCATGTGCTTCACGAACAGCAACGATTAGTTTTGAATCCTCATTATGATTGTTATGCAGAAAGCCAGGCTCTTTTTAAAATGTGATCCAATGAGTAAAATAAGCTCTTTGTTAAACATTCTTCTCAAACTCAGTGTGTCACTTTTTTTCACTGCACACATTCTGTAGCTGAATTTGAAATGGATTATGTGGGGTATGTTTTTCAAGCTAGAGCACTGGATTACAAAGAAAGCTTAAAATACACAAGAATGCATTTTGAATGAAGTTATAAATATTACCTATTTATTTATGTTCATGTTGATTATTTAAGTGCAGGTTATTGTGATTGTTTTTTCCCTCCCAAACCACTGTCTCTAACTTCTTATCTACATTCACGAGTCCCTCTGGAGTATCTTCGCTCTGAGTTGTTTGTGCTCAAAGTCCTAAGATGTTAATTGAGATATACTTCTATGTATTCATGCCTAAATTAATAACTGAATGCAGGATACCTCAGTAAAGATTCATTAGCACTTAGATTACCCGTGTGTCATGTTTACTCTCTTGTTTATTACTATGAAAATATCACAGACAGGAAATTGTGATAAAAAATATTTTATTGGAGTGTATTTCACATCATATTATATGATTAGAAATGCACAGTTCACACGTGTGCTTTACTCAGCTGCATCTTTTCCCTGTAGAACAAAAGAAAACAGTACATATGGGTCAGTGTGTATAAAAACGGAGCATTCAGTGAAAACAAATCAAATTATTGTCTGTAGCCAATTTTATGAAATTCGAAGCAGAATTGGGATATTTCTTCTTATAACTTTGTGCAAAATCTAAAGTGTGTGTACATTTACCTTGCCAGAGTCGCGGCTCTTAGCTCTCAGCTTGTTGACCTGGGACTCGGCAATATCGGCACGTTCCTCGGCCTCCTCAAGCTCATGCTGGATCTTCCTGTACTTGGACAGATGGACATTGGCCTGCTCCTCCTGTAACATTGTAATAAGTCAAAATTTCTTAGTGTCCAAAACGATGACAGTTTGTTTGCACAAAACTAAAATCTGACATAGAGTTGAGGGGGGTTTTTTTCTGTGTGGTCCTTACCGCTTCCTCAGCCTGCCTCTTGTAGGCCTTCACCTTGAGCTGCAGCTTGTCAACCAGATCCTGCAGCCTGTTAATGTTCTTCTTGTCCTCCTCAGTCTATAAAAGAAAACACATTTTAAAAATGTGATCCACTGGTTGCTGGAATAGGCTCCAGCCCCCCGCGACCCTGATAAGGATAAGTGGAACAGAATGGGTGGATGTAAAATGTTAATGTGCTTTACCTGATAGGTGAGCTCCTTCACTCTCCTCTCATATTTACGGACACCCTTAACAGCATCTGCACCACGCCTCTGCTCAGCTTCAACCTCAGCCTCCAGCTCACGCACCTTCAGAAATTTGAGCAAACTTTTAAAATCCATGGTTTATATATGTGTGTTTTCACACATATTTTTCAGCTGCACATTCTTCTTACCCTGGACTCAAGTTTCTGGAGCTGTTTCTTGCCACCCTTCATAGCCAGATTCTCAGCCTCATCCAGGCGGTGCTGCAGGTCCTTAACAGCAGCCTCAAGGTTCTTCTTCATCCTCTCCAGGTGAGCGCTAGTGTCCTGCTCCTTCTTCAGCTCCTCAGCCATCACAGCAGCCTAGAAAACATGACCTCAATTAACAGAGTGATGAAGACAAAGCTGAGTTGTACCGTCGTAGTGGACATGTGTATAAACCTACATCAGTGATGGCCTTCTTGGCCTTCTCCTCTGCATTTCTTGCTTCCTGAACAGTGTCATCCACTTCACTCTGGATCTGAACCAGGTCAGCCTCAAGCTTCTTCTTGGTATTCAGAAGGCTTGTGTTCTAAGACATGGAAAGTTTACATTTTAGGATGTTCATTTTAAGTTTGTCTAAAGAAACAATTAAAGTGTCTCTTCAAAAATGTTCACCTGAGAGTGCAGCAGACCAACACGCTCACTGGCGTCCACCAGCTCCTGCTCAGCGATTTTGCGGCTTCTCTCTGTCTGTTCCAGAGCAGCTCTAAGCTCCTCAATTTCAGCTACCATGAGACCGTTCCTGCGCTCCACCATAGCAGCTTGTTCCTTGAGGTCATCCTGAGACCTGACAGCATCATCCAGGTGCAATTGTGCATCCTAGTAAAAAAGAATATCAAAATTATATTCACATGAATAAAAAAATGTACTTACACAGAATGTGTACAACAGCTATGTGCTCTATCATACCTTCAGCTGTGCCTGGACATTTCTCAGCTGTTTCTGGGACTCAGCAGCCTGGCGATTAGCATGGCTCAGCTGAATCTCCATCTCATTCAGATCACCCTCCATCTTCTTCTTGATTCTCAGGGCATCATTCCTGCTCCTGACCTCAGAATCCAGAGTGCTCTGCATGGAGTCAGTCACTCTCTGGCTGTTCCTCTTGATCTGCTCAATCTCTTCATCTTTCTCTGCCAGCTTCCTGTCTACTTCACCTTTGACCTGGTTGAGCTCCAGCTGAACACGCAGGATCTTAGACTCTTCATGCTCCAGAGTTCCCTAATCATATGAAAGAATGAATATGAAAAGATATTCATCTCTGCATTTGTAGATTTTACTTCTGTATAACTGAATATTTATTTTCAGAGGAGCTCCTCAGACAAAGATTTACCTCAGCCTCTTCAAGAGCTGTCTGGATCTCAGACTTCTCTGTCTCCACCTGCTTCTTGGCCTTCTCCAGCTCATGAATGCTCTTTCCAGTCTCACCAATCTGTTCAGTCAGATCGGAGATCTCCTCTGCAGAGGCATGTGTGATATTGTTTAGTCTTAAGACATTAAAAATGAACACACGTTACTTGCACAGCATAGTAGAAACTCACGTTGCAGGTTCTTGTTTTCACGCTTCATGGTCTCCAGCTGATCCAAGGCTTCCTCATAGGAGTTCTTCATCTTGAACAGTTCAGTGCTGAGAGAACGAGCCTCCTTCTGAGCTCCTTCCACCTCTGCCTGACCCTCCTCATACTTCTGTTTCCACTCTGCCAACACCTATATATACATTCGATGCAGTTATTCACCCATACTAAGAGAAACCATGAGTATGTGTCTTGTTCAAGCAAAGTAAATGATGGTACCTTGTCAAAGTTCCTCTGCTTCTTGTCCAGGTTAGCGGCCAGGCCATTAGCTCTCTCCACATCAATCATGAGGTCCTCCACTTCACTCTGGAGCCTCTGTTTGGTCTTCTCCAGAGAAGCACACTTGGAGTTAACAGCCTCGATCTGCTCCTCTGCCTCCTGAAGGCGCTGGGCCAGCTTTTTCCTTTATGAAAAAACATTGTTTCAGTAAAAGCTTATTGTTTTACTTGTTTTTTGCTCACATTCTTACTAACTAAATACTCACTTGGCTTCCTCAAGCTCCTCAGTGCGCTGGATAGCATCAGTTTCATATTTGCTTCTCCACTGAGCCACCTCACTGTTGGCCTTGGACATTGAACGCTGCAGCTCAGCCTTGGCCTCCTGCTCCTCTTCAAACTGTTCCCTCAGCAGGTCACAGTCGTGGCGAGCTGACTGCAGTGCATGGGCAAGGGCATTCTTGGCCTGGTGTAAGACACATCATTGCATGAGCAAAATGTCGGAATTACCAACAAAAAACTATACGCACTTTTACCATTTATGATGGATTCAAACTTGGGCCTTACAGCATAGGGATCACCTGCTCTGTCTGGTAAGCCATACCAGCCTCCATTGAAGTGTTTCTTACCTTAATCTCCTCTTCAATGTGTCTCTTCAGCTCCTCAATCTGCTGTGTGAAGGCCTGTTTGCCTCTGGTCAGCTGAGAGACGAGAGCTTCTTTCTCTTCAATCTGGCGGCTGAACTCACCTTGTGTAAAAATAGTCATCAAACTTTAGTTTGTGTTCAGTTTTTCTATCGAAAACAGAAGATCACTATAAAGGACTAAGTTCGGATCACTGCATGTTGTCTTATACAAACCATTTTCCGTGAGCAGACGTGCTCTCTGTGCACCCAAATCATTGATCTGACGGACATTTTCATCGTTTTTGGCCTTCAGTTCACTAAGTTGGTCCTCAAGAGTACGGCACATCTTTTCAAGATTTCCCTAGAGAGGGAGAAAAAGATTCATCAGTGACAAGATTTTATGTCATCACTATTTGCTGGTGATTTAAGTATTAAAATAAATGAATTTTGTTGTTTACCTTTGCTTTAGCGACAGCTTCCATGTTGCTGGACAGGTCGTCAATCTCCATCTTGTATTCACTCTTTTCCTTCTCAAGCTTCTGCTTGACACGTTGGAGGTTGTCGATCTGCTCTCCCAGCTCAGCAACGCTGTCAGCCTGCTTCTTGCGCAGAGCAGCAGCGGTGGCTTCATGCTGCAGAGTAGACTCCTCCAGGTCACGACGGAGCTTCTGGAACTCAGCTTCACGCTTCTTGTTCATCTCAATCTGAGCAGCAGTTGCACCACCTGCTTCCTCCAGCCTTTCACTGATCTCTTCAAGTTCCCTGGAGAGGTCAGCTCTCTGCTTCTCAACCTTGGCGCGAGCAGCACGTTCAGCCTCAATCTCCTCCTCCAGCTCTTCAATACGAGCCTGTTGGATTAGATGTGTGTCTCCTTTGAGTAAACTTTCAAATTTAAAGTACAACGCAGAAAATATGTATGGACTATCATTTGATGTAACATCATGTATCATCTACCTGAAGCTCCTTGATCTTCTTCTGAAGCTGGGCACCCATTGACTGCTCATCCTCAATCTTGCTAAGGAGCTGACTGATTTCAAAGTCTTTCCTGTGAAAATAATAAGTTGCATAATTAATAAATGTACATATTATGTCCAATCCTTAGAAGGATGCTTGTCATAAAGGGGGAAAAAATGAAAGTACTTTTTCAGTTTCTCATCAGACTGCTGCTTGTCATTCTCAAGATCCATAATGGATTCCTGGGCTAGCTTCAGATCACCCTCCAGCTTCCTCTTGGCTCTCTCAAGGTCCATACGAAGCTTCTTCTCTTGTTCCAGAGAACCCTCAAGCTGCACAATGACATGACTTTGTTATTCTCTTGTTCAAGAAGAGGTTTCTTTTCTCTCTGTTTTGCCATCACCTGTGACATTTTCAACTTACATCATCAACTTGCTGCTCAAGCTTGGTCTTGGACTTGGTCAGAGTGTTGACTTTGTCTTCCTCAGACTGGAGGTCATCAAGAGTCTGCTGATGAGCCTCCTGAAGAGCTTTCTTCTCCTTAGTCAGCTTAGCGATGCTCTCATCTTGAGAAGCCATCTCTTCAGTCAGATTCTTCACCTACATTTGCAATTACAGTGTTATTAACATGTGACTGTATTGTTGTATACATGTTGTTTAATCTGCTAGGTATAATCCAAATGTCAAACCTTGTTCTCAGTGGCATGTTTCTCCTTCTCTACTTTAGCCAAGGTAAGCTCCAGGTCATCGATATCTTTCTTGAGCTCAGAGCATTCATCCTCCAGCTTTCTCTTCTTGCCAGTGAGCTCGGCATTGATTTCTTCTTCATCCTCCAGTCTCTCAGTTACCTCTTTGAGTTTTGCCTCCAGCTGAATCTTGCTCTTGATAAGTCCCTCACATCTCTCCTCAGCATCTGAGAGATTCTCTGATTCCTAGTTTGCATTGGAAGAACACACATGAACACGTTAACATTGTTAACATTTTATGGTAACAAAATAAAAGGGCACAGCTTCTCTTGATATCTACTTACAGATGCCACTTGGAGCTGCAGATCGTTCTTCTCCTGCAGAAGGGACACCATCTTCTCCTCTAGTTCCTTCTTCTTGGCCAGGGCAGCAGCCAGATCTGTTTTCATCTTCTCATAATTCTCCTTCATCTGCTGCAGCTCCTTCTCAGTTTCAGCACTCTTGAGCAGAGGCTTGATCTTGTAGTACACCTTCATCCATGGCCAGTGTTTGACATTCATGAATGAGCGGATGTTGTACTGGATGGTGAAGATGGACTCCCTGTGCACAAGAGATTTCCATTATTGACAAAGTTATTTTTCACTGTTTTTATTCTGGCTCATTGCTCTTAATTGCTGTGTTCAACATACCTCCTCTCCGTCATTTTGACATACTCCTTTCTCATGAGGAAACCACGGCAGACAGCCTGAGTCATGGTGACCAGAGCTGCCAACTTTTCATCTCTCATCTCCTCAAGGGTACCCAGGAGACCAGCCTTGAAGAACACCTAAATGATCACAAGAGAGAATTATATTATAGTAAGCGTTCAATTAGAAATGATTCAGAAAGTAAATGTAAATCTACATCAGGTTTGGGGAATTTTATGAACGTACACAGTGAAAGGCTTGCTAAACTAATGACATGCTATTTGAGAAACCTTGTGCCTCCTGTGTAGACACGTCTGCATTACATATGGGAGTTGGTTTATTGTCTACCATACAATATCTCATGTGTGCACAAAGTAGCATAATTTATGTCAAATGAGCCACATAAAATAATAAGAATTTTTAAAACAAAAAAGAAAACATAACGATAAATGTGTCAAATAGTTGATTAAATGTACTTTGAGAAAAAATAGGAAAATTTTGATTTGATCTTCATGTGTAACTATGATAATAAATTCAGGGCTATTGAAATTTGGGGATGGAAACTTGTTGATGTTTTACTTGAGCTTCTTTTCAGTTTTCATCCAGTTCACTGACCTTACTTCCTTCAGTTTTGTCCAAAAGTAATTGTTTTAAGCAGACAGATTTTTAAAAATTAAAAAAGTAATTTTATATTCATGCATGGATCTATAGTAATTCAATCAGGTTGTTTACCTTAGTGTGTCCAAATCTGTACTGGTCGTGATCAACATCAATTGATCCAAGCAGTTTCTCTGCAGCCTTCTTGTTGTCAATGAACTGGCCCTCAGGGATGACGCTGGCATTCAGTACCTTGTATCTTTTGTGAGAGAGTGATTTGTCAGTGTCAGCATTTTCTTATCATATTTTGAATCAAAAGTCCACGAGGATATTAATTGCACCTCTGTTTGAAGTCACCATAGAGGATTCTGCTGGGGAAACCTTTTCTGCAGATTCTGATACCCTCCAGCACACCGTTACACCTGAGCTGGTGGATGACCAAGAAGTTCTCCATCAGACCTGTAGAACAAAAATGTTTGAGTTCATACTGTGAACAAACACTAATTTGCTGTTTTCTAATCCAAACCTGTGCATGTAGGCACACAAATTATGTTGGGTTACCTGGAGTCTTTGACTCGTTAGGGATCAGGCAACGCACAAAGTGAGGATGGGTGCTTCTCAGGTTTGTCATTAGCTTGCCCAAGTTCTCCTGTAGGTACACAAAAGTACATTTTTGTCATGAAAAGTAAAAATAAAAAATGTATTATTTTACATTTAATTTACTTCTCAAACCTTACCCTGAACTGTGAAGACACAGTCTGCATGGAGCCACCCTTCTTCTTGCCACCCTTCTTGCCAGTCTCTGTTTTTTGTTTGTGAATTGTAATTAAAAACATTGTGAGACTCGTAATACCAAACAAAACTTAATAACATGTAGAATATGGAAAATGTATGTTTTCAGTTACATCATACCTTCAACTACAGGTGGATACAGAAGACTCAGCAGTTTAACTGAGGACTTCTGGTAAAGTTGCAGCACAGACTCATTCAGTGGGTCCTTGTTCTTATCCAGCCAGCCACCGATGTTGTAGTCCACAGTGCCAGCATAGTGCACCAGGGAGAAGTGGGCCTCAGCCTTGCCCTTGGCAGGTTTTGGCTTCTCAAATGCTTTGCACTTGCCAAGATGCTGGTCATATAGTTTGTTCTTGAAGGATGTGTCAGTTGCCTTGGGGAACATGCACTCCTCTTCAAGGATGGAGAAGATGCCCATGGGCTTGATGAAGGTAAAGAAAAGAGATATGTCACCAAGTGGCACTTTTCCTCTATTATAACAAAACTGACATAAAAAAGATATAAGATTCAAACATGAACTTGAAGTATACCTTTTCAATAAGCTCAATGCAGGCAGCCAAGTCCATGCCAAAGTCAATGAACTCCCAGATAATACCCTCCTTCTTGTACTCCTCTTGCTCCAGGACGAACATGTGGTGGTTGAAAAACTGTTGCAGTTTCTCATTGGTGAAGTTAATGCACAGTTGTTCCAAGGTGTTGAACTGTGAGGGGAGAAAAGGGTAGGGAAAAAATCACTAAGCGGGATCTTATAATTGAAGTAGAGTTTCCCCATTTGTTAGCAATAAAGCTTACATCAAAGATCTCAAAGCCAGCAATATCCAGGACACCAATGAAGTAATTCCTTTGCTGCTTTGTGTCCAACATCTGGTTGATACGGATGACCATCCACAAGAACATCTTTTCATAGATGGACTTGGCCAGGGCTGTCACAGAGTTCAGCACCTAAAAAAATAAAAAGGGAAAATTTGATTGAATCACAAAATGCATTTAAGACCAAATATTTAACAAACATATACCTGGCAAATAATTATCTATTGAATCTGGTACATGACTATGTTTCATTTGATCCAAATACGCTCTGATTTAAGCAGCGCATGTTTTTTGTACCAGTTTGTCTCATTTACCTGAGGTACAGTCTGTCCCTTGGTGACATACTCATTTCCGACCTTCACTCTGGGATAGCACAGAGCCTTCAGCATGTCAGCAGAGTTCAAACCCAGCAAGTAAGCAACCTTGTCAGCATCTGAAAACAGCAATTTATAACATTATTATACAGTACATACATTATACAGTATGTGACAAGGATTTTTTAGTCTAATTGGCAACCATACTGCTCTTATTCACAAGTATTTTTTTTAACTAAGTACTCACCCTCTGTGCCATCAGGCTCAGCTTGCTCCTCACGCTGCTTCTGCTTGAACTTCATGTTACCATGATGAAGCACAGCACCAGTCATTTTGTAGATGCTCATCTTCTCCTCATTACTGAAGCCCAGGATGTCAATAGCATTCTGTTCAAAAGTGTCCACAAAAAACACTGCATAAACACTTTTTTTTCTTAAAGACAAACATCATTGATATTTTAATTATAAATCAAATCTCACTCACATCTGTTGCTTCCAGCTCAACTTTGTCATCAATGCTGGCCACAGTAATCTGACCCATGCTGCACATGGGGAAGTCGTAGGGGTTGGTTGTAATGAGGGCTATTTCTGGAAAAAAGAATAAAACATAAATGTTTAATAAGTTGTTTAAAATGAGAACTGTGCAACAACTTGGTTTTGCTGCTTACCAAGCAGCTCTGGCTTGTGGTTTGTCATCATCTGGTAGAAGATGTGGTAACCTCTCTCATCAGGAAGCTGGAATGTCACTCTAGACTTCTCCAGCAGATCTGCAGATTTTGATCAAATTTTGAAGTCACAGTTTGTCCCAAAGTCAGATGAACTACTCACATTGTGAATTTGTCACTTACATGTCTCAATATCAGCACTAGCCAGTTTGCCAGTTGTGCCAAAATGAATCCTGATGAATTTACCCTGTTTGGAACAAAAGGAGCTGTCAAAGCCACGCAACAATCATAACACTATTTCTCCTATCTAAAGATCACTCCATACTTACAAAACGAGAAGAGTTGTCATTCCTCACAGTTTTGGCGTTACCGTAAGCCTCCAGCAAGGGATTGGCTGCAATAATCTGATCCTCCAGGGACCCCTTAAACCCAGGTTTAAGAAATATATGAGAAAATTATTTTTCTTACTGAAGTATATTTTGTAATGATTTTACTAATCTTATCACGTTTGTGTACCTGCATTTTGCCGGATGTTTGGTCCTTCTTCTTATCTCCACCAACTGAGATAGTGGCAAAGTACTGGATGACACGCTTGGTGTTCACAGTCTTTCCGGCACCAGATTCTCCACTGGGTGTAGACAAATACTTTTAAGAGTTTGTTCGAAATGCTGAACTATTTTAAACAAAGTCAAACAATGTGACACTTACGTGATCAAGACAGACTGGTTCTCCCTATCTGTTAAAATGAAAAAGGAGTTCACTATGTATTTCTGTAGTTATCACCATATATATGATTAAATATTTGATTTTTGAGTTAAAGGCATACCAGTAAGCATGAACTGATAAGCGTTGTCAGAGACAGAGAAGATGTGGGGTGGAGCCTCCATACGCTTCTTGCCTCTATAGGCAGCGACGACTTCAGAGTCGTACACTGGGAGCCACTTGTAGGGATTTACTGTGGCGCAGAACAACCCAGAGTAGGTCTAAAAGTGGTTAAAGAGATTTTTAAAAAAGTGGATGTTAATTAACAGTTGCTGTTAGAAGAGTAATTTTAAAAGTTTTGCTTCTTAGGAAGACAGTCTCACATAGATCATCCATGCTGCATAACGCTCTTTGAGGTTATACAGCACAGAGGCTTCATTGAGGTGGGTCATCATGGCCATGTCCTCAATTTTGTCGAACTTGGGAGGGTTCATTGGGGAGACGTCCTCTTCTTTGACTGTCCTCTCCTGCAACAGCACATTGATCACGATGAGAATTTGTCACATCTGACTCTCAGTAAACTCTAACTTTATTATACCGACCTCCTGAGTGTCCAAGACTTTGACGGTGACTTTGGCACCATCTTTCTTGACGATAGTACCCTTCAAGTACAGCTCTTTGACATCAGTCACATAGCAGGCAGTCTTGGCATCAAAAGGTTTGTTCTGAGCCTCAATTCTCTCCTTCTCTGGCTTACGGAGGTATATGGCAGCTTTGCCATAAACGGCCATCTCTGCGTCCGTACTCATGGTGGCGGTTTACTTCTATGATGTTATGACAAATAAGTGTAATCTTAGACAAATATGTTACAGTTATTGTCGAGTTCTTGTGAGTGGACAGCTAACACCTTAACATCAAAGACAAATAATCCATCCATCCATCCATTCGCTTCCGCTTATCCTTTGCAGGGTCGCGGGGGGTGCTGGAGCCTATCCCAGCTGTCATAGGGCGAGAGGCGGGTACACCCTGGACAGGCCAGTCCAGACGCCAGTCTGTCGCAGGGCCAACACACAGGGACAAACAACCATTCACACTCACATTCACACCTAGTGGCAATTTGGATTTTTTCCAATTAACCTATCCCCACAAGCTGCATGTCTTTGGACGGTGGGAGGAAGCCGGAGTACCCGGAGAGAACCCACGCAAACACGGGGAGAACATGCAAACTCCACACAGAAAGACCCCGGCCTGATGTTGGAATTGAACTCAGGACCTTCTTGCTGTGCGGCAACAGTGCTAACCACCGTGCCACCGTGCTGCCCAAAGACAAATAATATAAAACATAAAATACTGACAATTTTAAATAGTTAAAAGTTGTCCATACCTGACTCTGTTTCTGTCAAAAGTATGTTATATTGCACAATCCTGTTGAACACATATGAGATATTGTCAATTACTTGGAAAATACTTGTTTTTAAAAAAGTAAATAAATGTATTTATTTAAGTACTATTATAATAATAATGAAGATACTACCAGTTCCAAAGCAGATAGAAGACAAACCTACCACAAGCAAAAGTCTTCTTCTTCTACCACAGAGTGATGTGCTCTCGCGGACTGCTTATATTCAATGCAGCATGCTTACCCAACAAAGTTATATATGGGAGAAATGCCAAATGTGGTGTTGATACCAGAGTGAGCAGACATCCGCTGAAACATAGTGCAAGGACATACTGTACATCAGCTTTCACTTCTAAGCATTCTTTAAAGCTATTTTTAAAGAAAGCAAAGGATTTCTCACTTAAAAACAATTCAAAGTATCATGTCCACATTAAAGAAACAAGGTGCAAAAGAAAAGGGGATTCCAAAAAATGCTTTGTGTTTTTTCATGTTGCAGTTGTGAAGTTGATTTATTTTATGAAGCATCTCCAAAACAATGATTCCCCCTGGTTGCCTTTGCCATATTTTACACTACAGGTTTTATTTCAGCTTTATTTTTCAGGACAGTGTCACACAGATGAAGATCTACTTACAGCTGAACTTTTAATGAAAACAGCTGTCTGCACAGGCTGCAAAGCGGCTCATTTTTCACTGACGGTGTATGAGTGTAACCACAACTCCAGTGTTTAGAGACTTCAAGTGTATTTTCTAATAATATTTGAAGATAGACTTGAACAGTACCTTATTGTTACACTTACACAATGATTTACTATCATTTAATTCCATTGACCTGTGTAAACTTTGAGATATTTTTGTTTGTTTTTCTTATTAATTTATTAGTACAAAGTATTTGTATTTGTAATATGTTCCTACTGATTTACCAACTAGATTAAGACGGGAAAGTAACCGCAAAAATGTCTGATTTTCATGAGCAGCTTAGGATAATGCCAAAGATATCCCACTTCTCTTTTGATACAATCACAACCTGAATTGCAAGCTAAGCTCATACATGATGCTATCTGAGACTCAGGATGCTTCATTAGAAGGATGAAGATATAAAAACATGAAAGAAAACATTAAAAACTATAAACATCGGTTTATAATTAAGGAGACACTGAAACAATTTTATACAATTCAACAGTTTCTTTCTGTGTCTTAGGGTCATCTCTGGAATGCCATAAATCCAAGTTGGCCACAGCTGTTGCCATGCCACACAGATTAATTAGAGATATATGTTGGAATGGCAACGTTCAATGCTTCAAGTGGGAATTGTGTGTTGGAATTTATTAACACTAGGTCAAGTCTGCGGTGCCAGGCCAAGTACAAGGTCAAGTTTTTACTGTAGGTTAAGGATGGCAACTAAACACTGTGACAAATGAATGTCGTGTTTGCTGCTTTGTAGATGTTTTAGCACAGCTAATAATATGTGTGCCTTACGAAACAAAGTGAGCCTTCTTACAAGGCTCACTTTGAAACCATTGCTTACTTTTTGAGCCCTGCTGACAAGCTGCACTCAGTGGAGAATCATATGTGGGGCAATAGCAATGTTATTCATAATTATGGTAAAAAATAAATAAATAAACAGACAAATGCAGGACAATAGTTAGATTTCCAGACTGTTTCTTTAAAAAACCTCTTTGAATGAGCTATCAATAACGTATCAAACATATACAGTTAGCATTAATTAATATTAAAATATACTGTCAAAGTATATAATAATTAAGGTGTTG